ATGCATGCCAGATCCGCCCTCTCATCCAGGATCAAGTCCTGGATGGCCGCGGTCTTACCATTAACGGATCTGGCATTAATCAGCAGGACCTTAAGACCAAGGGGACTGCCATGGAGCCTACCACTACCTACCTTCTCCAGGGTCGCAAGACTCTGTTGCGCTTCTCCCTGGGATATCGGTGACCCGCTATTCTCCTCCCCCACACGACTTGAATGGCACCCCCTTCCTCCGGAACCCTCCCCCCCCCCCTACATGGCCGGGATCTGTAACTAGTCAGCTCTCAGAGGAAGAAGTCGGGCTGGGGAATAATCTCCCTTGGGCGTTGGGTAGGGATGTTTCTGATGATGAGGTAGATAGTGAAACATCAAGGGAGCTGAGTGGACTGAATAAGGGAAGTGTTCTCGAGCGAAGGAGTGTAGCTGGTTGAGTGGGGGCGACCGGGACAGATGGGGTCTCAAAATGATACGAACCAGGAGGGGGGGCCCTAACCGGTGAGCTAGTTGTGGATGCACGGGGACCTGATGGAGTATGGCGAGAAGGAACCCCGGAGGCAAATAAGGGGCGTATCTGAGGGTCCACAACTACCCTCCTAATGGTAATGCCCCATTTCTTTAAGACAGAGCGCTTTGCCATAAGCTCTCCGAGCCATGAATTGTCTTCTGGTGTTATTTGAAGACGGGAGGAACGGTCAGATGATTGGTAGTCCCTCCATAACCACACTATGGCTTCTAGTCTTATTTCCTGTGGTCTTTTACCCAGGATTTGGGCCAAGGAGTTACAAACTGCCCTCTTAGAGGTCCATCTGCCTCTGTTTACCATTTGGTCAGCAATGTCCACCGCGAACATGTCAGTTTGTAGATGATGATCCTGAGTACAGGCTGCCTTTTATTTTCTACCTAATGGCATAGATCAGTGTTTCTCAACCTGGGAGTCGGGACCCCTGAGGGGGTCGCAAAGGGGTGTCAGAGGGGTCGCCAAAGACCATCAGAAAACCCAGTATTTTCTGATGGTTATGGGGATTCCATATGGGAAGTTTGAGCCAATTCTATCGTTGGTGGAGTTCAGAATGTTCTTTGATTGTAATGAACTATAACTCCCAGCAACTACAACTCCCAGAAGTCAAGGTCTATTTTCCCCAGGCTCCACCAGTGTTCACATTTGCGCATATTGAGTATTTGTGCCAAGTTTGGTCCAGATCCACCTTTGCGTGAGTCCACAGTGCTCTCTGGATATAGGTGCACTACAACTCCCAAACTCAAGATCAATACCCACAAAACTCTTCCAGTGTTTTCTGGGAGTTCAGTGTTGGTCATGGGAGTTCTGTGTGGCAAATTAGGTTCAAGTCCATCGCTGGAGGAGTTCAGAATGCTCTTTGATTATAGGTGAACTATAAATCCCAGCAACTACAACTCCCAAATTACAAAGTCAATCCTCCCCCAATCCCACTAGCATTCACATTTGGGTGTATTGGGTATTTGTGCCCAGTTTGGTCCAGTGAATGAAAATACATCTTGCATATCTGATATTTACATTATGATTTATAACAGTAGTAAAATGACTGTTATGAAGTAGCAACGAAAACAAGGTTATGGTTGGGGGTCACCACCACATGAGGGACTGTATTAAGGGGTCACGGCATTAGGAAGGTTGAGAACCACCGGCATAGATGTTTTGGGATAGTGGGGGCAGTAAACATTAAGGTCAAATGATCACAAAAAGCAGAGACAGTGCCTGTTAATAACGCTGTCCTTTCACACAATACTTTTGTATTACCAGCAGCAGCTGTTCTGTAAATTGCTGTTGCTGATAACAGAATTGTCCTCGTCTGTGCTTTAGGATTTCATTTCCTTCTGACCTGAACTATTTATCTTCCTGCAAAACATGTGTTTGTATATAGTCGTCCCCATCCATCCATGAAATCAATAATCCATAGCTTGAAAATCAGCAAACCTTGAGCCACGTTGAGTCTTGTTTTTTAGAGATAAATAGTAGGATATAAATAATAGTGATAATAATGATAATATGCTGGTTACTGACTGCAATAAACACACACACACAGGCATATATGACATTATTTTGCTCCAACATTGTACACAAAGGGACTTAAGCATCCATGGATTTTCATATTTATGAGGGATCCTGGACCAAATCCAACTGATTCCAAAGAACCACTGTATATGAAGCTCAGGATAAAGCTTTCGGTCTCTAGTGAAGCAAAATGCAATACAGAAACAAATTTGTTAGACTTTTATTATTGCGGGATTCTTCTGGAATTTACAAAAATGTATTTGTTGTTTGTGAGGTGTTAGAAGTACTAGTCAGGCACAAAACTTGCACATAGCTGCTAGTCTTTGGACACAACATGAGATGTAGATTTCAAATAAAAACATCAGTAAACAAATAAAATACACGATCTGCTTGAGGCTCAGGCGTCGGCGGTGTCCGGGTGGGCTTTTGCACAGCTAAGACTTGTGCGCCAGCTGCGACCGTACCTCGCAAAGGTTGATTTGGCCGGGGTGGTCCATGCCTTGGTCACCTCTAGATTGGATTACTGTAATGCGCTCTACGTGGGGCTGCCCTTGAAAACGGTTCGGAAATTCCAACTGGTTCAACGGGCGGCGGCCAGGATGTTAACTGGCGCTCCTTACAGAGAGAGGTCATCCCTTCTGTTTAAGGAGCTCCATTGCCTGCCGTTTACCTACCGAACCCAATTCAAGGTGCAGGTGCTTAACTACAAAGCCCTAAACGATTTGGGACCTGCCTACCTGCGTGACCGCATCTCCGTGTATGAACCCACATGCTCCCTTCATTCATCCGGAGAGGCCCTGCTTACGATCCCACCTGCGTCACAGGCGCGTTTGGTGGGGATGAGGGACAGGGCCTTCTCTGTGATTGCCCCCCAACTCTGGAACACCCTCCCCAAAGACATTAGACTAGCACCCACATTGGCAGTCTTCAGGAAGAATCTGAAGACCTGGCTATTCTGATGTGCCTTTCCGGAATAGGATAATCTCCAGCACTATGTCCTAGAAGCACTTTATTAGAGTTTAAGACTCTCTGCACATTGCACTTGCCCGGAAATCCAACATACCTCCTGCCACACTCAGCACTTTTTAACCTGTACCCATCACTGGCCCGGCCCTGGTTTTTTATTGCGTAATGATATATTGTTTTGTTATTGCTTATGTTTTAATTTGCTTTAAATTGTATTGTTATTGTTTTGCTGTTGTTGTGTTGAGGCCTTGGCCTTTGTAAGCCGCATCGAGTCCTGCGGGAGATGCTAGCGGGGTACAAATAAAGTTTAATAATAATAATAATAATAACTAAGCAGGAGAGTACATCACCAGTGATAATGATAACTATTTCATTATGTTTAGTATTTTAAAAAATACTTAAAGTATTTAAAATGCTGAAATGCAAAGTGCTGGTGTTACCTATAAAGCTCCAACAGTTTGGATCCAGGCTGTTTGTCTAATCGCGTCTCCCTGTACAGACTATTGCATGCACTTCGGTCTACAGAGGAGGCCCTCCTCTCAGTCCCACCCCTATCACAAGCTTGGTTGGTGGGAACGAGAGAGGAGGCTTTCTCTGTGATCACTCCCTGTCTCTGGAACTCCCTCCCTACAAAAATTAAAATGGCCCCCACCCCCTTTCCTTTAAGAAACTTCTAAAAATGTATTTACGCACTTTAGTGTATTGAGAGGAGGAGGACTAGGGTCACTTTAAACCACTGGATTGCTGGGTAACCCATTTGTATTATATGGCTGTTATGATACATCTTAAATGAACCACTGGTGTCAGCCATTTTTAATGTAATGTTGTTGTTTTTTAGGGTGTATATTATAACATTTACCCATGTTTTAGTTCTATGTCATAGTGGATTGCTCCTGTTTCGTTTTTATTTTGATACTCAATTTTTTCATTGTAAGTTTATTGTTGTTATTATCCATTATCCTGTATTGTTTTGATGTGTTTGTACCCATGTTGAGGCATTGAATGTTTGCCTTTTTGTGTGTAAACGACCCTGACTCCCTCTGGGGAGAAAGGGCGGTCTAGAAATAAAGATTATTATTATTATCATCATCACCATTTATTTATTTTTTGTCGTGTCAGGAGCGACTTGAGAAACTACAAGTCGTTTCTGGTGTGAGAAAATTGGCCGTCTGCTAGGACGTTGCCCAGGGGATGCCTGGATGATTTGATGTTCTTATCATCCTTGTGGGAGGCTTTTCTCATGTCCCCGCATGAGGAGCTGGAGCTGATAGAGGGAGCTCATTCGCCTCTCCCCAAATTCAAACCTGCGACCTGTGGGTCTTCAGTCCTGCCGGCACAGGCGTTTAACCCACTGTGCCATCGGGGGCTCCATTAATTAATTATTTAACATTAATTATTTAACAATATTAATCAAACTACAAGAAAGGAGATTCCATCTCAACATGAGGAAGAACTTCCTGACTGTGAAAGCTGTTCAGCAGTGAAACTCTCTGCCCCGGAGTGTGGTGGAGGCTCCTTCTTTGGAAGCTTTTAAACAGAGACTGAATGGCCATCCGTCAGGGGTGATTTGAATGCAGTATTCCTGCTGCTTGGCAGGGGGTTGGACTGGATGGCCCATGAGGTCTCTTCCAACTCTTTGATTCTATGATTCTATAATATAGGTTGACCCCTCTATCCATAGGAATGATACCCATAGTTTCATGAAGTCAACAAAATGTCTTCTCTAGCCCTTTTCTAGGTCCTTCAGGTGATTCAGTGGTATGCTTCTGCTTAAGGTTCACCATAAAGTTACCTTAGGTTATATACTTGCTGCAAACCAAGCCTCATTCAGCTCAGTGGGACTTGTCTGAGTAGGCAAGTATACGATTGCACTCTTATATATCTTTCCTGCATAATCTTCACCAGCGTCGGCTTCTAGCAATGCCAGAAATAGCCTAGTGTTTCAAAGCATATTATGCCATTGATCTCAAACGTGTCACAATACAGACTGTTTTTGTCTCTTTTAGAATACAAGAAAGCCCGCCAGGAGATAAAAAAGAAATCCTCAGATACACTGAAACTTCAGAAGAAAGCAAAGAAAGGTAAATGTCCCCATTGTTGTTTTTTTCTCTTCACATTTTACATGACTTCCTCCATATTTGATCTGAAGGAATATTTATGTATCATAGACTTTAATAAATTACTTGAATGTATTGATTTGTTATTATTGTTAACTCTTTTCATCTTGACTTTGGCTTATCAATGAGAGACCTCCAAGAGTCCTGAAGTGCTATCAATACATTCAAGTAGCTAATTATGTATATGGTTCAGGTTTTAATTGTATTGTGTTAGTTTTATTGTGAGGCACTTCGAGCCTCTTTTTAGAGAGAAAAAGTAGGATATTTATTATTATTATTATTATTATTATTATTATTATATTGTGTTGGTTTTATTGTGAGGCACTTCGAGCCTCTTTTTAGAGAGAAAAAGTAGGATATTTATTATTATTATTATTATTATTACTGTATTGTGTTGCTTTTATTGTGAAGCACTTCGAGCCTCTTTTTAGGGAGAAAAAGTAGGATATTTATTATTATTATTATTATTATTATTATTATTACCGTACTATTATTGTATTGTGTTGCTTTTATTGRGAAGCACTTCGAGCCTCTTTTTAGYGAGAAAAAGTAGGATATTTATTATTATTATTATTATTATTATTATTATTATTATTATTATTATTGTATTGTGTTGGTTTTATTGTGAGGCACTTCGAGCCTCTTTTTAGAGAGAAAAAGTAGGATATGTATTATTATTATTATTATTATTACTATTATTGTATTGTGTTGGTTTTATTGCGAGGCACTTTGAGCCTCTTTTTAGAGAGAAAAAGTAGGATATTTATTATTATTATTATTATTATTATTATTATATTGTGTTGGTTTTATTGTGAGGCACTTCGAGCCTCTTTAGAGAGAAAAAGTAGGATATTTATTATTATTATTATTACTATTATTGTATTGTGTTGGTTTTATTGTGAGGCACTTCGAGCCTCTTTTTAGAGAGAAAAAGTAGGATATTTATTATTATTATTACTATTATTACTATTATTGTATTGTGTTGGTTTTATTGTGAGGCACTTTGAACCTCTTTTTGAAGAGAAAAAGTAGGATATTTATTATTATTATTATCCTATTAATATGTTATTACTATTACATACACATTCGTAAGTATTGTTCCATGGTGAGTATTAGACGAGGCACTTGACGTATATGATTATATACATACATTACACACATTGGATGTCTTATCTAATACCCACCATTGAGCAATACGTACGGATTTGCGCTCTTTTCTAAAGTCATTAGATTACCAACATCTGAAAAGGTCTCCATATCTTGCTTGTGCACCCATTCTTCTTAAGGAGCGCAGCAAATCTGTTTCAACTTCGGAGAGGATTACTGTAAGAGTCAGAACAATCAGAGCCTTGCCTTTGGGTGTATTCAATTAGAGAGAAAGAGAATGCTCATTGTTCCTGGAAGTAAACAGGAGTAATCTGAAGAATAGCCAAGAGCAGAGCCTACTGAGGAACAACGACATTTAGTCTGAAATATTGGACAAATGAAATTTTCCACCGCAATGCACCTCTGCATTTCAACTTGATCTTGAGTGTGCCTTTGTTCACCCTTTCATTTTTGATCTTCAATTTCAGTGATCTAAGTCAGGCCATGAGCTATGATTTCAGAAAGCTTGGGTTGACCTGATGGATGGTTAGGTCCCTATATCATCTTGTGCCTTTCAAAGAGCAGTCCTTTGAGGGCATCTTGCCCAGTTTCCCCATCCAAAAAGCATGGATCTGGTGTATCCACGCCCACCTAACTCTCATCGCTCACATTTGGTGTCCAGTCTCCAGATTGGAAAACGTAGCATTGTTGCATTGACATGGACTTGTGCTGGAACCTTCTTTTGATCCAGAAGGTTTCAATGCCTGGGTGTAAGGTTTAACTATGGTAAAGTGTTCTAAAAATAACTCCCTTTCATCTCAACCCACAAATTTAGCAGAGTATTTTATAACGATGTAAACATTCTTGGAAAGCAGACGTGTCATTGTTAGCACCATGCAGCAATTTACATTAGCAAATTGCTTTCCTACCCTTTTCTGTGTTCTGTCTGTAAACAGTATGACTCCTACCGTCACCGCTGTTTGTTGGGTGTTTGTAACATGCAATCATATTGTGCTGAGTAGGAGGAAGCTTGGATGCAACTCATTCATGCAAATGTATCGGTATTTTTCCATATGTAAACCACTAATGGATTTTAATGATGGGTATAGGTTCAGGGCTGGCCTTCCCCCTGAAATCATAGTGATATATGTTCAAGGCTCTGGAGCAGATGTGTGTTTTGTTTGGAGCCCTGCATGTCTACTTGTGCAACACCCTTATATCCAACGTGTCGTCGAAGGCTTTCATGGCTGGAATCAATGGGTTGCTGTGAGTTTTCCGGGCTGTATGGCCATGTTTCAGAATGTTTCTGGAATATGGCCATACAGCCTGGAAAACTCACAGCAACCCACCCCTGTATCCCTTTTGTATTGTACAAAACTGGTCAGATATTCTGGTTTCTTTGTTCCAGTCAACCATCTTCTCAATTTAGGGAAGAACAAGATTGAGGAACAGTGATCCCATTGTGTCACCTAGAGATGCTCTTGTAAATGCTAAGCCTTGACCTGGTATGAGGATCAAAGTTTAGTATTAGAAATGGGAACCCCATAACACTACGTAATATGATTTTTTTCCCAAGTTATAACTCTCATTTTCTAATTGGTTCTATCGTAAAAACATGGAAAAAGTTTATTAAACTGCAAAAACTTTGTTTTTGTGGGATATCCTGCAACACATTTTGCTATATCTCATATCTCATAGAGCAGTGGTTCTCAACCTGTAGGTCTGCAGGTGTTTGGCCTACAACTCCCAGAAATCGCAGCCAGTTTACCAGCTGTTATGATTTCTGGGAGTTGAAGACCAAAACATCTGGGGACCCACAGGCTGAGAACCACTGTCATAGAGTCTCAACCAATTCAACCTAGTTTGTGACAGCCACAAAAACAAAGTTTCTGGAGTATAGCAACTACTTTCAAAATAAGTATCACACCATTAAACAGGAAATAACACTTTCAACCAGAAACAGATTTTTAAAATTTTTTGTTACATAGCATTATTTAACTATCAAGGGCAAGATCTGGTAAGATTGCTGTGGTATATGAACTTTCTGCCTACTTGGATACAGAGGAATCTATACCTCATCTCTGCAAACTTTGGTATGTTCTCAAAACTTAATCCATAGAGTTGGGAAACTCTTTGGAGCAGGATAAATGGAGCACAAGTAGTATCCCATTGTTGGACTCAAGTAAGGTAACCAGATTGAAATTGGAAAGAGTAGAAGAATGAATGTCAACAGGTGTTACTTCTTATGTAACCCGATAACTAGCAACAAAACCTGGAATCTCCTCTTATTCCCATCCATTAAAAGTGTAAGAGTCCTCTCTGGTTTTCAGACTAGCATCTCTAGCTTTAGACCAGAGGTATACATCTTCAGACTGGAGGACGGGACACTGTCTTTTAGGGCAGATGTTCTCAAACTTTGGTCCTATAGAGGTTCCAGACTTCAACTGCTAGAATTCTTGACCATTATTCCATGCTGGTTGGGTCTTCTGGGAATTGACATCCTATACTCCTGGAGGACTGTCAGACACTGTTCTAGGGCCTAATAGTCTGACTGTGATAACTTTGTGACTATATCTCCCTAGCACAGTGGTTCTCAACCTGTGGGTCCCAGGTGTTTTGGCCTACAACTCCCAGAAATCCCAGCCAGTTTACCAGCTGTTAGGATTTCTGGGAGTTGAAGGCCAAAACATCTGGGGACCCACAGGTTGAGAACCACTGCCTTAGCAGGTAAACCCATTCAACTCCTCTGGTATTTAAAGTAACGGTAGTCATACAAAAATTAAGGAGGGCATTCATGTTCTTTTAAATTTATTTTTCAATTCAGTGTTGATATCCGCTTGAATGCAGCTCCAGTTGTAATGGCAATTGCCTTTATCTTTACCTCCCATGTTATTTGTATCCCCATAACAGTTAAAAAGCAGAGATTGGATTTTTTCCCCATTTTGCTTTTATGGAATTGGCATTATCACTCCATTAGAAACTTGAAATGGGAAAGACAAAAACAACGAAAAATGAGCTACATGGTATTTTTGTGTTCCTTAAATTCACCAAACATCTAAGGACTCTATTTTATTATAACCTGGAGTGTTTTTTAAATAAGCAATGTTCTAGTAAGCTCTAATGTAGAATTAACTCTTGCGGAGCTTTATCTTGATTGAAGCTTAAACTCCCTGAAATTTTTGAAATGCTATCGTGTTCCAAATAGTATTTGGGAACCCTTGTGAAGAATTCCATCATATGTATGTGTGACTCATGTCCAGCATACCAAACATTTGGGTGCTTTAAAAAAAATCAGAAACCAGACTGTTTTTCTTGCCTTTTTCTCCCATTGGCATTATTTTTTATTGTATCTTATGTCAATGTTATAGAAACTAAGGAGAGAGGGAGAAAACAGATAAACATTACATGTATTCATGTGTATTACATGTGTTAATCTGGATCAGTATACTGATAGATCTTGTAGCACCTTAGTCTACATCAGTGGTTCCCAGCCTTTGGTCCTCCAGGTGTTTTGGACTTCAGCTCCCAAAAATCCCAGCCATCTTAACAGCTGTTAGGAATTATGGAAGCTGAAGTCCAAAACACCTGGAGGACCAAAGGCTGGGAACCACTGGTCTGCATATTGCATCTGATGAAGTAAACCAGTGGTTCTCAACCTGGGGTCCCCAGATGTTTTTGACCTTCAACCCCCAGAAATCCTAACAGCTGGTAAACTGGCTGGGATTTCTGGGAGTTGTAGGCCAAAACACCTGGGGACCCACAGGTTGAGAACCACTGAAGTAGATTGAAGTTCACATATTATGCTACCAACCTCTTTCTTTTGGTCAATCTCTTAGAGCTATTCATATATTTAGTAATTGTGGAAGCAAATAGTGCTG